ATTTTTTTTAGCCACCCTCCCCCAGGGTGAGGCGAATGAGGAGTCAGGGAGACAGCAAGTGCACGTGTGTGGGATGAGGGGAGGGAAGAAGCAGGAGGAAGAGGAGGGTTGGTGGAGTGACCCGTCCTTCCAGTCAGATCATCTCTTCCTCAGGACTTCCACAACTTCACAGATGTTCTGCTGGTTTGGTATTTACCTACACTGCAGTTCAAGCCACATCCCGTCTTCACTTCCAAAGAGAGATCAGCTGCATCTCTTCCTGATGCGCAGCCACTGCTCCTAGAGGTGTCCCAGCACAGGAAACACTGGAAGTGCAGCCAAAGATCCAGTGAGAATAACTATTTTATGCCCCTTCAAACCATCTCTGAAGTGCCACCATCTCTCCGGCTTTTTAATCATTCCTTTGAAAATTTACAATCAGCAGCGTGCGAGCTCAGGAAAACAGCAGTTCAGTTAATTAAAGCAGCCTGCCAGCTCCCACCCTCAGCAGAAACACACACCCAAGTCTTCCAAGCCCCACCATCCTTGCCACCACCTGAGAGTTTTGTAAGCCCGAGCCTTCCCCTGGCAAATCAACTTGTTTGAAGAGATGGGCAACAAAGCTGTTGACAGCAAGGGAAGTCACAGAGGAACTGGGGAGGCACCAGGGAAATTTTGGCCAAGCAGCAGCTTCTCTGGAAGTTGGTGCTGCACAGGTTTCAACCACAGCTTGGGAAAAAAAAACACACCAGGTACACATTGTATCTATGCTGAATAAGGGACAGCTTCAGCAGGATGTCCACTGCATCCTCCTCCTGAGGTTTCTCCCATCCCACTACACCTTTCCTTGGCACAGGATACACTCTCTACTGCATCCTTAACACAGGGGTGCCTGCACCAAAATCCTACCCAGCTTGGAGGAGGAGGGACTGACATAGGTAAATGCTGGTCCTTATCTGGAGCAGAGAGGAAAACCTGCAGGTCATCCAATACCTACTTGAAATCTGGCTGCAGTTCAGCCTGGCTCAGTTTTTACTTCTTAGGCTTCTTGTCACTAGCCTGATCTACCCAGAACTGCCAGGATTAACTACCACAGGAATGCCACGTATAGCCAAGCCCTTGATTTCCTTACAGGTATTTTTGCCAGATTTGAACCGTATGATCCCATTCCAGTCCAACACAACCACTGCCTACATGCCCCAGGAAATGCAGTAACAGGCAACTCTTATCTTTATGGGAAGAAAGCCACGAGGATTAGGCATTAAACACAGAAAACAGGAGCATTCTGATGAAGTCTTTTGTCTACCACCACATATTTGAAAGAGGTTTATAACTTGCTTTCTTGTCAACTGTTTTCCCAAAGCACCTCAGCCATACGGAGCTCTCACCTTGGGCAGCTGACCCTCAACACCCACAGCACCCAGAACATGCAGGAGACAAAGAAAGGGCTTCCCTTGTCTCATAAGGAAGTTTCCTGCAAGGAACATCCCTTTAATTCTCTTTTTTTTTGCCCTGTCTTGCTGGCACATAGAAAAGGAAACCACACCCAGTACTTTTATTCCCCCTCATCTTACTTGCTGATGCAAATTTTTGCCACTTCTGGTCTTCCTACTCGGCACCACGAACTGAATTTCCTCTTCACCTGTGACCTCCCAGCTGGGCACTAGAGCTCCACAGCTCCCTCCCAGCGAGGGAGCACACACAGCATCAGCTTCAAACAAACACCAGTACTCCTGATGTTCCACTCTACCAGCTATTCCGCCCTACTCATCTCCAAACCCGTGGCCATCCGCACATTCCCCCTCATGTTACCACCCCCCAGCCAACTCCAGCACTTTCTCCAGTGCAAACATGCCTGGGAATTCTCCCCTCTCCACCTCTGCAAGGCTTCTTCCACTCTCACATAGTTGCAACTGAAGTGGGAGAGGGGAAAGAGATGCAGTCTCTGCTACTTCTGCTCCAAGTCCTGTTATTCAGCTCTGTCATGTTCTTCCAACACTTCCAGCCCTTTTTCCCACACGGTTAGGCCGCCTCCCCCTGCATGGCCCTCCTGCAGGGGACAACACTGTCACTTTCAGAGGGGAAATCCACAAATACAAATATAAACAATTCCTCCTGGTTGTTTATTCCTACTGGGATATCAGTGAAGGAACTTCTCATTCATGTTTCCTGCATCCTCCTCCCCAGGTATTTCACCCCCTGGGAAACTCTTGGGACAGACCATGAGGATTCACGTCTTGTCCCTGATCCCACATCTCCACACTGAGCCTTCCCAACTTCCTTTAGGTTTCAAAACTCCTCAGCAAGCTGTGAATGCTTCAATCCAGCCCTATGACTCCCAGTATTACTCTACTGCCATGTGACTCTTCATAAACCAAGTATTTGTTCCAAAGCCTGGACCCCCTCGTCCTCCCTCCTGTTTGATGTTATCCTAACCTCTTTCTTTACACTTTACCCACCCCTTGGAGGTTTTTTTTTTTTGTTTCAAAGCACTACCCTCTCCAAGTAATCTGGTCTCTTGGTCCCGTTTGTTCCAGTGTAATTTATATCCCTTTTGAAAGAACTCATCCATATGACCATTTAGCATTTCCACCCTACTCCAAGAAAGTCCATTTAATTTATCACCTCTGCTAGAAACCAGCCATCCTGAGAAGTAACCAAGTAGAATTTATGGTACTAAAAACAACACTGCACAGACAAATACCTGATATAATCACTCTATTAAATATACTTATATTATACAAACTTTCTTATCTCTCTTCTAATACAATCCATAGGCTCAGGAAGCTTATATAGCCCAGTCCTATCACAGAAAAGGATCAATTCTTCATCAGCCATAACTGATTGATGTGAGTCTAACCTGTCCCAACCACCTCCAAGAGCAAAGACTAAACAGCTTTCCCAGGAAATAATTCAGCATTTCTCTGCTCTTACTGTCAACAGGGATTCCCAGCACCTACTAAACCGCTCTCCTCACACTGTGAGCCCATTATTTCTCCTACCCAGCACAGATTTGTCTGGTTTTTCTGCTTCCTCTTTGCAGCAACCTCCTTTCGATTTTCTCTTCATTCTGAAGAGCTCCAGTTCCCGTAATTTCTCCTTGGAGATCACTTATGCCAGGATTCGGCAGCTCTCGGGTCTCTGCTCTCTCCCAGTGGTCTGCACAGTTTCTCAAGTGCAGCGTGATGGAAAGGATAACTCATCTTTGCTGGCAGGAGATAAACAGGCACATTACAATCAAAAGGAACCACTGGGATACTGGATCCTGACCTGCTCCCTTGTTTCACAAGGATTCAACATCTGCCTACGACTGCCTGTCGAAAAGACCCCCAAAAACTAATGACTGCAACACCACAGACAGCTGCCAAAAAAAAAAAAAAAAAAAAAAAAAAAAAAAAAAAAAAAATCAAGCAGCACAACCCAACCAGAGCCAGGAGAGCTTTCTAATCATCAGTCCATGGGACACGAGCAAAATCCTCCTCCTCCCCCAAGCTCCCGAAGGAGAAGGTTTTGGCAGTATGATTTTGGTGTGCCCACACCTCAGTCATGTCCACTCAGCAGCAGCAAAGTATCCTGGGCAAACAGAAGAGATTTGGGGTAATTTTAATGTGGGTTTTGGTTTTGGTTTTATTTTTAAGTCTCACATTTACCGCTACACTTCACCCAAGGAGTGAAACCAAGCGCGAACCTGAGTCTCTGTTAAATTAATCGCAAAGGTCAACTTAAATTTAGATGAATATAAATTTTTTTTACCGGGCCAGAGCACTAAAGGAGGCAACTGAAATGATAATTATGAAAGCTGGAGAGGTTGTTCCACACCTGACCGGGTCCCGAGGGGCCGGCATTAACCCTGAATTCGGCACTGCACAAGTCACACTTTCACACGTGGGAAGGACCGCGCTGCAAATATGGGATTGAGACACCCGACACCGACTGAACCTCCGGCATCCCAGCGCTGCCAAAAACACGCGGGCAGCGCCAGAGGAACGACCGGCACCCCGAGGATACACGGCACGGACAGCTCCAAGGACCCCGCGGAGTATCCGCCGTCCCGGGGGAGCTCAGAGCTGCTCCATCACCCCATTCACACACAGTTGCGGTGGCTCCACGGAGTTTCCCGATCACTTCCTCGCAGCCAAACAACAAGTGAGCGACAGGTGCACACCTCCGGCGGCAGCTCTTTTAGAGGCAGCCCTAAAAACAGCTCGTGGGGGACTCCCGGGGGTCCAGGAGGATATCCCACGGCTCCAACGCCGTTCCCTTGGCTCGTGAAGGGAAAGAGAAAAAACCCTCCCGGGTATTTTAAGCAAGTCTTTCCGAGCTCAGAGACGCAACCTGCTGCCCGTACAGCTTTTTTATCCCGCCCTGAGACACACAGCAAAGCCGTGCCCTACCGGGCTCCTCTTTCCCTGGCAAAGCCGCCAAGGAAAGGAGGAGCGAACAGAGCCCGGCGGGCTTCGCCCCTCTCGCTCTCCCACCGGGATTTGGGGAGCCTCTCCCCCGTCTGACCTTGAGGGGCCCGGCAACAAAAGAGGGGAGCGATGCACTCCCGGGAGGGATCGCGGGGGCAAAGGCCCCGCTCGGTGCCGCTCCCGGCCCCGCTCGGTGCCGCTCCCGGCGGGGGCTCCGCGCCCCCCGCGCCCCCCCCCCCCCATCCCGCCGCCCCGCGCGCCACCTGGCGGCCGAGCGGCGGCACCGCCGCGACCCCCGCCCCGGAGCGCGGCCCCGGCACGGCGGCAGCGCCGCGGACACCGCCCGGTCCCGGGGCAGCGCGGGGCGGCCGCGCCGCGGAGCCGCCGCCGGGGCGCGGCAGGGGAAGGAGGGGGGGCGGTTCGCCGCGCCGCCCGCCGCGCTCAAGTTTCACCCGGTGACGGCGCTAAGAATAACGCGCAGCTGGCGGTGCGGAGCCGCCGCGGAGCTGCCGCCGAGCCGCCGCTGCCGAGCCGGGGCCCCTCTGCCGCCCGCCCGCCCGCCCGCCGCACCGCGCCCGTCTCCTGAAGGGCACGCCGGCTCTCACTCACCGTCCGGTGTCGCTGCTGCTGCTGTTGCTGGCGGCGGCGGCCCAGCGCCGGGAAGCGGCCGGTGGCGGCGGTGAGCGCGGCGGGGCGGCGGCCGCAGAGGAGCAGCGGCAGCGCTCTGCCCGCCGTGGCCGCCATCGCGCCGCTGGAGCCGCCCCACGCTGCGGCGGCGGCGGCGGCGGCGGAGCTGCTGCCGCCCGGGCGGGGCGGGGCGGGCGCGCCGCGCGGCCGAGGGGCGGGACCGCCGCCGCCGACCGCCAATCGCCGAGCCCCGCGCGCTGGGCCCGGCGCCCCCTCGGGCCAATAGGAGCCGGGCGAGTGAGCTGTCCCGGCAGCTGATTGGCTGTCGGTGCTCCCCTCCCTCAGGCCCGCGCGAGGCTCCGCCCAACGCCGGCAGGGATGGGGAACACCGCGGGGCGGGGCCGGGGGCGGGGCCTGAGGGGGGCGCGGTCATGGGGTGGGCGGGGCTGGGAGGGGACACGGGGGCAACACCCGGAGACCCCCGAGGTGGGACAGCAAGGGAGGGGTGCGGGGGGACCCTCGAGAGACCCCCGACGGGTGACACCGAGGGAGGGGGTGCTGGGGGACCTCTGAGAGTCCCCCAAGGGGCGACAGTGAGGGAGGGGGCACGGGGGGAATCCCCGAGAGGCCCCCGAGGGGGAACGGTGAGGGAGGGGATGCGGTGAGATGGGGAGCACCGGGAAAGGGGTGCAGGGACACGCAGTGCACTGGGGGGGGTGCAGCGAGGGAGGGGGTGCAGGGAGTTGGGGTGCGTTGAGGAGGGAGCGCCCCAAGGACAGTGCACGGGGGGCGGGGTGCAGCGGGGAGACGAGGATGTGGTGAGATGGGGTGCCCCAGATAGAGGGTGCAGGGAGATGGGGTGCAGCAAAGGCCCCCAGTGGCCCTGGGGACGCAGCCGTAGGGGGGGCACAGGGATTTAGGGTGCCAGGTCAAACCAGCATCCCACCCAATGGCCGTTTCAATGAATGGTATAAAAAGTGTGTTCTAAAAACAAACAAAAGTATTGCAGAGAGAGAGATGCAGACACAATGGGCTGCGCTGCCAGCACAGAGCTTGCAGCATCTGGGCTAAATAAGCCCAGCTTTTTCTTGAAAGGTGATGTACTTGGATTATTTTTCTTAGAGAAGACTTTTCCCTTTGGCCTGGGAGTTTTTATAACACTGCCAGTGGCTTCTTTATAATTCCTGGGAAGGAATAGCCCAGAAGGGAAATGAGCCCATCGCTTTTAACATGTGGAAGTGGCTTCAGAATTGCTCGTTAGGAGATGGAGCTTTAAAAAATATTAATGCACGAGCAGATCCCATGTGCAGCAATACCATTGCAGCGGGGACTGAAACAACAAAGCAGCAGGGATCCTGTGTTATTGCTTTGTTTTTTTTGAAGCTGAGGAGCCTGGGTCCTCGCTGTGGAACAATTGGGACACGCCTCCTGGCAGGTGAGGAGAGGAGGATGCTCGGGGAAGGAGAGTCACGGGGCATTGATGGGGAAAAAAACTCTGACAAAGCTGGAGGTTGCCAAAATCACGCAGGCTGAGAGACTTGGGCTGTTATTTACCCCCCTGTGTTTGCCACAAAGACTTTCTAAAAATACAGAGGGAAGCATAACCAGGTGATGGGGTGGCACAGATGTGATTCACCCCCACCATCACAACACTCCAATGCCCTCCTCCCTTCATCCCCAACTCCCTCCCTGCCTTCCACAAGCTCTGATGGGTTGTTCCCAGCTTTTCCCCAAGCCACATCATTTTGGAGCTCGTTCCTTAGCAATCCTTCACCCCAATCCTCCTTTCTGGCTGGGTTTTCCTTCAGGGATTATCCCTTCCTTCTCTTTGTCAGTTGGAATGACGTGGTTGAAGCATTGGCCGTGCCTTCTGGAAGGGTCTACCTGTGGTCTTTCCAACATCACACATTTATCATTTCAATGATTATTTGTTTTTCTTGGAAAATCCCGCAGACTTTTTGCAGCAGCTGCTCTTCGCTTCACTGCTCAGATCAGATCAAGTCCTTGCTCTGTCCCTGCTGGTTGTATTTCCCTCTCCTTCCTTGCTGAAAATCGATGGCAGGAGGAAAAAAAGCTTTAAAAGGAGGGATTTTGAGCAGCACAGCCCCCTGCAACGACCCCAGGAGCACCCGCTTGGGAAGGTGTTCCCACACAAAATTTGGCCAAGGAGCAGCCAAGGTCCCCAGGGACATCAGCCTCTCCCCAGGACAGCTTCCAGCATCCCCACACCATGGGATTAAAAGCCTCAAAATGGCAAAGCTGGAGTTAATGCAGCCCACAGGAGCTGGAAAAGGCAGATTAGAAAGGCAGGAACCAGGGAGGGAGGAAGGAAGTTCCGAGGCCATGGGGAGGTCAGAGGCAGAACCACCTCTTCTCACCACAAACTACCCGCTCCAACGTTTTTTTTTTCAGCTGGGTGAGCAGAGGCAAGTTTGGGATGAGCCCATGCTGTTGTCCCCGTGGATATTTCCGACAGGGATCGGTGCTGGAAGCTCCAAGGGAGGACAAGGATAGACACGATGAGCAGACCCTGGGCTACCAGACCTGCCCCGACTGCTCTCTCCTATTCCCTACTCCTCCAGCCATTCATATTATATATTTAGATGTTTATTTCTCATTAAAGAGGAGCTGGAAGCTGAAGTCAAATTTTAGGCAGAGTTTAAATGTTCCCAGGGAGTTTTGGGCAGAGGTGGGGAAACACCAGCTGTGAGCAAAGGGCGAGGGTGGCAGAAAGGCCAAGAATTCATTAGCAAAGCCCTGCTGAGCATGTGGGCACTCATTACAACCCACAGGAATGGGAGTTAAATGTGAGCCCTGAGATCAATACCCTGTGCAATCAAACAAGCCGGCAGGGAACGGCTCCCCAAGGCACAGGGAGCAGAAGGGGTGAGGATATGGGCGCCGAAATAAAACCCCGTCATTTAGGGTGAACAGCTGCCCTGCTAGAAGCATCTTCCACTCTTGGAAAAGCAAAATAAAATAGTGTGTTTAACTAGTCTTTCTCTTGGTGCCTCTAATTACAGCTGGCTGATTATTGGAAAGCTGCTCCCGAGAAGAATTGATGCAGAAAAGCACACCAGTGTTGCAATTAATAGTATTGCAGTGGGAAAGGCTGAAGTGGAAAGCTGAAGCTTCAGACCCCCATCAACCACCCCAACGCTGCTGATGGAGACATGGATGCTGTCTTCCTGCAAATAAAACACTGATTTAGGAGAAAGTGAGTGTGTGATGAGCCACAGGCAAAGCCATCACTTTGGAAGACCTGCTCAAGCCTCAAAGTGCTTGGACTAAATAAGCCAGTTAGGAATAAAATAAAAAAAAAAACACCCCAAAAAACAAATGATCTTTTAGTCCACAGACTCATCACTTTCTGGATTTAGCCAGTTTTATTCCTACAGATGTCCAGGGCTGTGATACAGCAGAACCCAGCCCACGGAGATGGATGAACATGCAAAATCCAGCACATGCATCAGGCATGGGTGGATGAGGAAATGCAGGAGGATTCCAGGTCCAAGTGCATCTCATCTCCTTTTATTTAGAGGAAAACGTGGTGCTATCAGGTTACTGCAGATAACAGCCCTGATACAGGGGGGCAGAGTCTACTCGATAAAGGAATGGTGCTGGCCATCTGCCAAGCTGCTCATGGAGCAAGAGGATATAAGGGGAGAAATGTCCCTGGACTGGGCAGGATGGGGATCCCTGTCCCATCACAGGACTAGGACATAAGCCCCAAGTTACCCAAACACACCAATGTTTACTTGGGATCCCCTTTTGGGATCCAGCGTCACCACCGCAGATGGCCAGACCTCGCTGCGCCCTGGCCCCCCAGCGACCCCTCCAAACCTCTGGCATCACCTTAAGCCTCACCAAAAGGCTCATCCTAAAAAATCCCTGCAGCATTCTCGCTGGGGGAGGGCGCAGTGGCGGGATCCAGCAGCCTCCTGTGTTCCTCAAGAGCAATCGCCGTCCATTTATGCCTCCAGAAAATGTGGGGTTTTTTAATGGAGGGTTCATTAAAGCCCATAGAGAGCCAACCTAAGAGGCATCTGGAAGCAACTAAAATTAAAATGCCTAAAATTAGCCTCCTCGGCAGTGAATCCTCCCTCTGATCTAGATGCCGAGGCGCACATGACCCAGGCATGCCTTTCTCGCTTTCCCTTCCCACTGCCATCCCATTCCCGAGGCACCAGGCACAGCCCCAGCCGCTGCCACACCAACCCACGGCCCTGAGGGAGGAAGGGATTCTTTACTGGGAGGGTGGGCAGGCCCTGGAACAGACTGCCCAGAGAAGCTGTGGCTGCCCCTAGATCCCTGGAAGTGACCAAGGCCAGGTTGGATAAGGTCTTGAGTGACCTGGGATAGTGAAAGGTGTCCCTGCCCGTGGCAGGGGGTTGGGACGAGATGCTATTTAAGGTCCATTCCAACCTCATAACATTCTATTATTTTAGATATATATATATATATATAAAGCCCCTGAGACCCAATATACCACTCTTTCAGACCCTACACACAGCCCTTCAGCCCCTCTCTACAGGACTCTTGGACCCTACAGACAGGCTCTGAAATCCTATACATAGATCTTTCAGAACATAAATATATATACATATATATGTATATATATGGGCCCATGAGACTCTATATACAGACTTTTCAGATCTGATATACAGATATATAGATGTATAGGTATATAGATACAGGCCCCTGAGACCCTATATACAGACCTTTCAGAATCCACATACGTACATGAGCCCTGAGATCGCACACCCGGCTCCTTCAGGCCCTATACCCAGTCTCCTCAGACCCTACACAGCGTAACCCTCCTCACACGGTGCACACAAACCTTTCAGGCCCTACCCACGCCGATCCCCGAGCCTTCCACCCCAAAACCCCACCCAGGACCCGGCAGCTCCCGGGCCACGCCCACGCCACGCCCACCCCACACAGACCACGCCCCTTTCTCCCGCATTGACCACGCCCCTCCGGCGCAGCCCCGCCCCCGGAAGCGCGCGCGGCGGGCGGAGCGCGGGGCCGAGGTGAGCGGGACCGGGATCGGGATAAGGGGCATTCCTGGCTCTGGAGCGGGCTCCTGGACCTCGGGGATGCGAGTCCCAGCCCCCCCCCGGTGCCGAGGCAGAGCCGCCGCCCGCGGTAAAGCGGGCTTTTCTGGGTCTCTTTGGGCCGGGCTCCCCATCCCCGGGCCCTGCGGGAACTCCGTGGCTCCGCCGCTGTGGGATAAACCCGGCGGGTCCGCGGCGGCCCCGGGGTTCGGGTTGTTGAGTTTATGGCCGTGTGGCAGAGCTAAAGCCGAACCGCTTTGCCCTCAAAGCGGTTCGTCGGAGCTTTAACTCCCCCGAAGGGCCCGGCCGTGTTTGATGTGCGGGGAAAAGGGGAAACCCTCCGGGGTGAGTTTGGGTTCGCGGGGTGCTCGGAGTGTGGGAAAGGCTGATCCTTATCGCGGCGGGGTTTATGCGTTCTGTGTTTGCCTTCGGTTTAATGAGCTGCTTGGGAAAGGTGGGAAATCCGAATGTATTGAGTGGGGTCTAAACAAGGGTGGGCAGGTCAAAACAGGCGATGTTTTTGGAGGCTTCTCCTCTAGGTACAAGTTCCAGCTCAGACTTGAGCTAAAGGCCTGGCTTGTCCTTAATTCCTTCAATCAGCTGTGGACCATTTTCCCCTTCCTGGCTTTATTTGGCTTAGGCTGAGACACGTTTCCTGAGGTCGATACATGTGAAAGCCGAAATGCAGAGGCAAAATTGGGTGCAGCACGTGGCTGGCAGCAAAAAGTTATAACCTTCACCGTGTTTCTTTTCTTGTTTTCAGACCACAGCCCTGCCAAGAAATAATTCTCTGTGTTCTCTGTGACCTCTTGACCCGCAAGCTGGGAGCAAATAAGGCACAGGTGAGGAAGGTGTTGCTGAGTGGTGGGATGTGCAACTCACAGCTGAGCCCTGCTCTCAGGTGCTCCTAACTTTGCTGCACCAGTCATCTGGCTGATAGTTATCCTTAGCTATGCCCTGTGTGGAATTTACTCTTGTACTAAAGCTCTCTCAGGGTTTATTCCTAGAGGTGGTAGGGGAATGGGTTGCTTTTTTGCAGGGGGGAAAGTTGTGCTGACTTGCTTAATGGGAAAAGTTATCTGCCTGGAGCTGCCTGTCAACCCAACCTCAGCTGGGCCACGTTCATAAAATATTTAAAAAAAAAAAAAAAAGCCACCAAGAAAACTGAAGTGCTGCTTAATGTGTCTCATTAATTTCTGTGCACTCGGTAAAAGTAGATTTGAACAAGGGAGGTATCAAAAAAAAACTCCACTAAACAAACAACCAACCAAAACTAAGGAAAGATGCTTAAACTGTGTGTGCTTGTCCATCTGGAGCAAGAGAGCATTTAATGGCCCCACACAGAGAGCAGCGTTAGGTGGGGAAATGGGAAGGAATTCTTCCCTGTGAGGGTGGGGAGGCCCTGGCACAGGTTGCCTAGAGAAGTTGTGGCTGCCCCATCCCTGGGAGCATCCAAGGCCAGCTTGGATGGGGCTTGGAGCAACCTGGGATAGTGGGAAGGTAAGTTCATGTAACCCCTCTTTGTTTACCTGTGGAAGTGGCTTGTTCTCCCAATGACCCATTTTCTGCAGAAACTGGTGATTTTCATTATGTGTCCTGAACTAAAGTTGAAATTCCATGCTCTGTAGGAGAAAGGATGATATGTTTTGCTTACATCATTACTGTCTGCCTACTAGGGACCCTCTGGAGCTTCCCTGTGTGTCATTATTCTCTGTGTCACAGGAATCCTGTGCAGGTTCCTCTCGGGTTCTTGGGGAAGCTCAGAGCAGAGTTTCAGAGGAGAGATGATCCAGTTGTCCTCAGGCAGTTTAACAGGACAAACTGTAGGACTTACAAATCATTTGAAGTCTCAGCAAGGCTTTGAAGCAGTATCCCACAAACATTCCATATTTCAGGTGGTATTTGACGTGGTATCAGCGTGTTTAGATCTGGAATGTAGAAACGCTCATTTTCGCATTTCTCAAAGCACAATAAATTCTGTAGCAGTCACAGGAGGTTTGTTACAATAACACATTGTTTCATGCTGTTCCACTTGCTGCAGTAACACTTCGTGAAGCGAGCTGGGATGTGGAAATCCTCCTTTTATTCTTCCCAAGTTCCCAGTGGCCATGCTGGTGCACAGTATTTTAAACACAGCTCAGTGCACTGGGGCTGAGGGCGCCTGTGTACAGCAATAAAAATAACTGGTTTTGGGGTTATTCCAGGTGCTGTGTTGGCATGTTGCAGGAGTGCCAGAGAAAAAGTGTCTTGGTGTAGGTGGGATGATGTTGTTTAGGATAATTTAGTGGGAGACAGTCACCCAGGGTCTTTGAGTATTGTACACTTTTGAGATGAATGTTACCTCTTTTTTTTTTGTTACAAATAGTGTGTCTTCCTCATAAACATGGAATCATGGAATCATGGAATGGTCTGGGTTGGAAGGGTCGCAGTTCCACCCCCTGCCATGGGCAGGGACACCTCCCACTAGCCCAGGGTACTCCAAGCCCCGTCCAACGTGGTCTTGGACAATTCCAGGGATGGGGCAGCCACAGCCTCTCTGGGCAACCTGTGCTGGGGGCTCCCCACCCTCACAGGGAAGAATTTTTTCCCACTATCCCATCTAACCCTGCCCTCTGGCAGTGGGAAGCCTTTCCCTGTTGTCCTGTCCCTCCAGGCCCTTGTCCGAAGTCTCCCTCCTGCTTTTTCATAGGTACTGGAAGGCTGAGGATGACTCTTTATCTTTAGGGTGATGTGTTTGTTTGACACTTCAAGTAAGAAATACAAGGTCTTTTAGTAGCAACTGAGTAGAGCCTGAGGCACTTTGTCTCCCCAAGCACATACCTTCCAGAGCCTGTGGCAGCTTTGCCTCTTAGTTTTAGATTTAAGGGACTTTAAAAGAGGAAAAATTGACAGATTGTGCATTGTTTTTCTGTAGAGTTATCTGAAAAGTCCTTGAGTAGTAAATTCTGGGTTGTGTTTGTCTGCTACCGTGTCTGTGAGGGCAGTGACCACTTTTTTTTTTCCCCCCTAAAGAACCCTCCAGTGGAGTTTCCATCCTTGCATCCCAGACTTAACCTCTGAGAGCAGCTTTTAATTGCAGTCCCACCACGGGAAGAGCTCCCCCGTGGATGTGGGGCTGGAGAAGGTTGGGGTGGACCAAAGCACTGATCCTTGTAAGTGGGAATTTTGAGCTGGGCCTGGCACGAGGTGGGAATGTGCAGCTGGAGGCAGGCCAGCTGCTTGTGCTGGCCTGAACGTGTGGCCTGAAATGCTTTGCATGAACAGCCTTTGGTTCGTGACTGGGTTTCCCTTCTGTCCCTTCAGCCTGTGACAACTTGCCACCCGTCCCCTGCCACCCCACCCCCCCAACAAAACAAATCAGTGCCTTCAAGTAAACTGGTTTTTACATCATGTTTTTTACACAGAAAAAAAAGCCGACTTGTCTGGGGTGGGTTTTTTCTTCCTGAGTCTTCAGGGTCTGTCAAGCTAAAATTCTTAGCTGTTCCTCTTACCTTTGAAGTGAAACCTGAGATCCTCACGCAGACAACAAGAAAGAAGGTCATGGTTTGAGAGGAGCAGCTGACCTGTGCTCGGAACGTGAGCCCTGCGAGTCTGTGGGGCTCCATAATTTGTTGTGTGTCTGCGAGGCAGAGCTGCCCTGTTGACACGGCCCCATCAGTGTGGGGTCTGTGCCACCACTTGACCAGCTGTGTTTTCATCAGCTTGATGTAAACTTTCCAGTTCTGGCAGTTTTGCTTCAGGAGCTGTGAGAGCAGTTGCAGTTTTTTTGCCACTGGAGTCTCAGCTCTGATCCAGTACCCAAGGTGTGCTGTGTCTGCCTGCCCACCTTGGATGGAGCCAGGGGTTGACTGCTGGCTTTTTCCTGCTGAAACTGAGCTCCTCAGGTCGTGTTCTGAAAGCACAAGGCACTAGCCAAGCTTATCCATGTTCTTTTTCCCCCTCTCTGAAGTTCAAGCTAATCCAATAATGTGTCGCTGGGAA